AGCAGTTCTCAACACTGGCCAACTTGCGTATGCTATCAACACTTTTCAGCAAATCAATCGCCGAAAATAGGGCAATCAGATAATAACTGGAATCACCGCTTGTCAACAGTTGTTTCGGTAGTAGCTCCCACATGTACCATGCCTCCACTTCACATCCAATAGTTGATGTTCGTGCTAATAAATACACTAGCCATCTGACTAACTCTGAAATTATTATTATTTCGTTTATTGCCCATCCATGTGTTTCAAGGCATTCATTCATCCTTGCGTAGTTTTGATGGATATTCGGCTGACAATGAGAGTAACTGTTAAGAAGATTCATTCAGCAGTTCCAATGATGACGACAACACGAAATTTTGAGTGAATTTGTCGCAATTATAGTTACACTATTACTAATTTTGAAGAATATCTCAGGTTAAATTTCCGAATGAGAGAACATTATCCTGATTAATACTGAATCACAGAATCAGCACTTTCGTAAACTGAGGGAATTCTCTGTGCGGAAACGTATATATTACCTAGTAAGCATTATCCCAAGGAAGTGGACTTTCCTTTTGAAGCTATTATCCTATGTGAGGATTTTTCTTACTTGTGCACCTCCTAGCCAAGACGTCTACATTCTCATGAATATATGATTTTGGTTGAATATTCCTTCAATATTTCGACGAGGGGATAAAAGGACATCATAAAATCGCTACTTACCATCGGCTGGTGGTAAATTCTTAACTTTTGACACATCGCTAATAGTCGACATATTATCTGCATGTTTCACATCCGGAGTTGAGCAATTGGAATTGACCGATGACGGATACGGACCAATAGCCAAATAAATGACACGTAGCAAATTGTCGAGTTTTTTGAGAGGAGAATAATGATGTTGCATTTTACGCATACAAATTTTGATGGAATCCATCTTCTGCGCTGATGGAGTGATGAACTGAAGTGAAAATTCATTATGGATCGATCGAAGACATCACTAAAATGAAGTGATAGGCAGTTTCATTTGAAAGCAATCAAACAACGATACAAGAAGCAATGAGAATCGAATCGAGTGTGAACCTTGTAGTTGACTCCGAAACCGATTTGTTCAGGTGACAGCGTCCTCACGTAGGCCAGATTCTCTGATAGCAACTGCAGTGAGCCATTCTTGGAATGCTCACGCACCATTAGATGATATAAGTGTGGCTTAACAGGACCTGCAATTACTTCACTGATAGGATATAAGGGGTACCAGTGCGATGATGCGAAAACAAGCATTTCCCCATTTCCAAATATGACTTCAAGGATCGAAATAATTGACTGCTTACTGATCAAATTATCGAAAAGTGCGCTCATTTATATGAAAAACTTTCGAACTCGTTACTGGAGAGTGGAATTATGTACATATGCGAAGAAATTAATTTCTTACAAGAGTTACAATCAAACAAACTAACAAAGAACAATTTTGTGCAGGACGACTTCGAGAATCGCATCGATATTCAAGAACTCATTTGCGTTCAGTCGTGTTCGCTCATTTTCGATCAACTCGTGCAGTTCACCCTCACCGTGCTTCACCAAATAGTTCTTAATACCGTTCAAGAATTGACGTACGTTACGAATGACAACCTGCAAGTGAACGAATTCAGTCATTCAGTAAATCAATCCACAGCTGAATCAGTCAGTACCTATCACTCTCGAGAACTGAAGCAGCATGAAAGTTTCTGCCACGAATTTAAATACAGAGTTTATTGGAGATTTTTTATTTGACTTTGGAATTCAAGATAGGAAAAATTGATTGGAGCGAGTAATCAATTCATAGATTGATAAGAAGCAGAATATCAATGATATATGACACGTAGACAGTACCTGAGGATCACTTTCTTCACCCTCGATTGTACATTCAATGAAACGACGCAACGTTGCACCGAATACCGTGTTTTCTTGGGCAGATAACCTGAAAACGAATGTGAGATGAGTTAACATAACATGTTTTATGGAGACCGCGTGCAGATGGTTTTCACTTCAACAAAATAATCAATTGATCGAAAAGATCAAATGCATTAAATCTCGAAATATTGAAGGAATCATGAAACGAGACAAAATTTCAAATGAGAACAAATTTGAAACGGCCAGAAGGAATTCAGATTGGAATTTTTGGAAGGCTGATGAATGGTGATCAGTGTGCAATTGTTCATTCACTCACCGTTCAACATATTCCTGGATTTTGGTTCCTGGATCCAAACAAAACCCGCCTCTTAGGCGTGGTGGCGAGATCACAGGCGAGATGGCACGAATACTTGAGGGAATGTCATCCAGAGATTCAAATAGCGGATTTTCATGAGTATAACAACGTGGATGAGTTCGCGGTAACTGCAATCAATTAAACATTTGACGACTAGTTAATACAGTCGAACGAATGAATTTAATAGTTAAGCTCTTAGGATCGTGAACATGATCAATAACCATCATTATTCAAAGGAAAGCCAATACCCAGACAACAATACTTGTGAAACGCGAGATGTTAGATTATACGATCTTAATCGACAGTGCATATGAAGAAGTTTATGTGGATCATTGGGATATTCTTGGAAATTTGAATGTGACAATCGACATACCTAGTTTCAAACAAATTTGATCAGAAATGCGCAAAAAAAGAGAAATATTACTGGGATA